CACTCAAACTGTAATATAAGTAGTGTCAGCAGTGAACCTAAAATACCTCAAACAAACAATGTGTTCCTCAGTGTGTGTACATTCTGTTCTTACATAGAAACAAATCACAGATAAGAAAACATTGGTGTATGTCAGAATCTCCGTCAGAAACTGCGTATGAGGGTTTCAAGAACAATTGGGGAATGAAGTCCGTCTTACAAGCTCACAGAATCATCATTAACTCTGAAACCAAACCCACTTTATGCTGCTGGATCAGAGCAAAATTACAGTTTCGCAACTACCTGTTGAAAATCAGTGAAAAAACAAGTGGTAAAATACCATATGTTCTGCACATCGGGTTTTTGAGGTAACTTCCTTTTTGTTTTCATGAGACGTTTTTCAATGCTCATATTATCCCAGATATTTGTTTTGGTATTTCGGGACGTCTACCACAGGTTTGTGCCACAGGTCTGTTGTAATTCACCACAAGTTCGCTGGTGCAATCCTGTGGTGCATGTCCCAAAAATACAGCACAAGCGTCTGAGTCCTGGAATTATACGCTTTGAGCACAGAAGCTACTCGTAATGCAGTTGTACTTACAATCCCTGTGTGACCAGAAACGTGACTGCAGTGGGATCCTGCATGTTTCGTCTTTATAAGGTGACGTCAGGGCTGTGTGACTGCTTGTTTTTGCCCGCCTCTGACTTCTAGCGGCCACGTTTGATGAGTTCAGCTTCATACGTCTCACCTCTGACCTGTGAAATCATTCATTGTTTCTTCAGCTGTTTTCAGACGTGCACTGACCTCCGCACATTTTCCTGTCATTATCCAGAGGGGCTGTATGTGAGAACGCAAACGTCCTGATAACTGATAATCATAGTGTGAGAAAAAGTCTTATATCTGCTGTCAAGGTTTCTGCTTTTGAAGCTCTAAACACCCAGAATGGATGCGATAAATCGAGCAGGTTTCCTTTGACAGCCTGATCCATCTCCAAGGACTGTAAAGGAGAAGCAGCCCTGAAGACAATGAACTGAACAAACAGGGACAAGGTGACAGTATCCAAGACATTTATCTCGGGATCGGCATAAGCTCTGAGGTTAAGGATGGGGATAAAACCCTTTGTTTACGATGCTTGAATGGACGTTAAAATTCAGATAAACTCTAAGCTGCACCAAAAAGTCACCTTCGCTGTCCACAAAACCGCTTCATGACGCAACACAACAGATTCATGTTCTGTTTCTTCGATGTCCATGATCAAGTGTCTGGTAAATAGACTGAAATGACCCTTGACTTTTACACAGGGGCGTTCCATAATGGTCTGTGCATGGCCCCGAGCTGAGAGGCTACCCCCAAGAACAGCTGATTAGGTTTAGTCCACAGCAACAATGATTTTGTGAGAACCCCCCTCAAATTCTATGATCAACAAAGACAACATGGTCAGAAACCCCCCAACGAGGCCCCAGGACACAAACCTTCTGCAAAATGCTTCATTACTTTAGAAACTTTGGTTGAAGACTAGAACGTCTTGATGTGTGTTTGAAGAGTCTGGGACGGATTCACTACTTTACTATTATTTATGTGTAGGCACTCTGTTTATCATTTGACACTAAATGAATCATTTGAAGATTAGAATGACGTGGTTGGTATCATATGTTTCCTGTGCATTGAGGAGGGGGGTAGTTTGGTAGACCCCTCTTCATCTAGGGCCCCCAAATTCCCTTGAAATGTTCCTGCCTATAGGTCAGTGCAGCGCTTAAGCTGCAGGTCCTTGTACCTGCTGTTGCAATTACTATTATTGGTGTAATTATTATTATTAAATAGACTCAATTATTATTATTATGCGTCTATATATGGGTCCTGCACTTTGTTTTATTGTCTTTCCTCTGTTCAACGTTTCTACCTGAGGTTTTTTCGTTAAATGCAGAACAGACAGTCTAGACTTGCCGTGTGTGGAAAGCACCCGGTGATTACCTCTGTTATTATCTGAATCAAGAAGATTTTAAAGATGTGGGCAGTGATTCAGAAGTTTAGAGTGATGCAACAACTTTAATGATGCCTCTAAAAGCTTTTTTTGTTATAACTATTATTAAATCAAACTGAGAGCAAATTCTGGTTTTTCACAGTTTTCTATTTTCATTATCTAATTTCTCGCAGGGCAAACATTTGAAGATTTAACGCTGCCGTCTTAATTCTGTTTGTTAACGAGATATTGTTGTGGTTTATTGTAGCAGACCTGCATATTATTTCATCACATTTTACAATTAAATATCATATCAGGTTTTCAATGGCTGTCTAGACTTAAGTTTTAAATCAGACTGTGGATTTCCAACCATCCCCTTGTGTCTATGAGAAATGAAATGGGCAAAGGTCAAGGATTTCTTTTTAATTTTACAAGAGATATATTTCACTGATAGGCCCAAACATGAAAATTCAAATGAAGCTTCAAAATGACTGATTTAATGACACTGGCAGATTTCTCTGAATCAATTTTGACATTGCAGACGGTCATTCATGCAGAGTTTCACTGCCTTTTCTGGCACTCGACTCTGTTTTTCGGTCCAGAACTTGTCATTTGAGAGTGATCGAGCTGCCATGTGAATGAGCCAAACTTTTGTTGTCTCTTTCAAGAGCATGACTGCAGCTCTGGTTGTATTATATAGAAGTGGTGACGGCATTTTTAAACTGACGCACGTTCACACAGATATCAATAAATGAGGCAGGTCTGAGGACTGAGGAACCTCCACACCGGAGGCTCTTATTGTCACTCAGTCTGGATTTTTATTGCCCCACGGCTGCTTCCTTTCTGTCGTATGTAATTTTTAAAGCAGCACAAACTAGAAAAGATGTGTCACAGCGTGTAACTGATTCAATAACGTACATTTTAAATGCAGCACAGCAGCACAATCACCTCATCACTGCAATCACTTCACACATTTAACATTCTCAACTTTGTGGTAAAAGCTCTTTTCATTTCTTTGTCTCTCACACATATTCACACACTCGTTCAGCTTTGGTGCTTCGGTGTCCATCTTTAATAACCGGTGATTAATGATTAGCCGGTTGGCCGTGTGAGAAGTGTTCACTTTAGAGCAGAGCAGAACTGTCAGCCTGACACTGTTGTACTTTAGCCATAAACACTGTCTTGTTAGACTTCACTGAAGGGTGGAGTCATCTGGGCAAAAAACATGATGGGATTTTCAAAACACAGAACTTGTTTCCGCTGCAGATTATGTCACCCTTGAATATTGAGGAGTGAGAATCAAGCCTGTGCAGCTCAGTCAAGATCTTATCATTAAGAAAATGTTTTCACATTTCTTTTCTGAAATACAATCATTACCCTCTGCAGAGTGTTGCTTTCACCCCATCAGAGTGCATATGTCTCAAATAACTGAAAAAATGCACGGATAGATTTTCACAAAACTTGGTGGGAGTACTTTGGAGAGTATCCCCAGATGAGTTACTTTGAAGCTGATCGGTATATAGTCTGACATACACTTTCTCTAAGATGAAATGGTCTTATAAAAATATTTGAAACAGAGCATTTCCTGATTGGGGTATAAACAGCATGTGCCAGGTGTGCTGATGCTTTTATTTGTGCCTATTATTTTACTTCATGAAATCCACCAGGAGGTTGTAGATTTTTCCCACTTTCTTATTTACCTCCAAATTGTTTTTTAAGTTTGTAATGGAAAGCAAACAGCTAATTGTTGCCTTATCTTTATTCTTCTTATTCTAAAGTCCGTTTGTCAGCAGGAGCTCAGCAGACATTTGTGCGAAGCATCTTCCCTGACTACGTTAACGAAGATATATTTTTCTGTAGCACCCCATCTCCCCAAACAGCTTGAGTAGCATAATCCAGGAGCTGCAGACAAACTGTTGCACCGATGCCCAATATTTACCTCATTACGGCTTTTATTTTCCTCCTGAGGAAGACAACTTGCTGATAGGTGCAACCAGAACCCTGTCAGGGAGCGGAATCGAGAGGTAATGGGGCAAATATTAGACATTTGGACCCGAATTCATTTGGCTGTGGAGCACTTGGTTTATGCGGCGCAAGATGTTCTGGGAATTCTGTTGACAATTAAAGGTGCATAACGGCGTGTGCTCAGGTTTCAGCTCCATAACTATAAATCACATACCCTTTACATTTGTGCTGACCGTATACAAATGCGTGTAATACATTTTTTCAATGCATTTTTCTTGCTCCTATCAGGCAGCAGTTCCCACTCACTGCTTTGTGATAAAAATGTATAAGCAGACTCTTGGAATTAGTTTTTATAATGTGAAATAATGTGAACATTCTTGTCTGTTTCTATGACAGCAATCTTGTTACAGTCATGTAAAACTTTTCTTGCTTTTTATTTAAAATAATGTAATGTAATGATTGGAAGTTTGTATAGAATTATGTAAACATGTTTGGCTGTGATGTACAAGTAGCTTAATGTGACAAAAACATTCAATAGGCTAATGACTGCCTATGAAAATTCTCAATATAACTTAACCTAAGAATCTGTCCTTTTAGTTTTGGTTCAAACAAAGGATTATATTGTATAAAAATGTTTGTGTCACAGTTTTAAAAGGCTCAATCAGAAGGGGAAATAACTTCGCAACAGTTTAAAATGAAGACAAAAGCTATGCGCCCGAACAGGGACTTGAACCCTGGACCCTCAGATTAAAAGTCTGATGCTCTACCGACTGAGATATCCGGGCTCTTGCCGACCGTCGATGTAAGGCCTTTACATACTTCTTATCTATACTATATATGTATATTTTTCTGTTCGCCTATATTGTCATATTAAATATTTAAATATTTAGCACCAGTCTGATCATGAACAGATCCTGCAGTATGATTTACATGATAACAGTGTATAAGGGATTTAAAACACGTGCATCACATAACAGAGGAATGTATTTGAAGACAGAATGACTCTGATATGAGACAATCTGATTGACAGGACACGTTATTGTCAGTGTTTGGAAACTTCCGTCATGGAGTTAGTGTTTAGACGTTGTGATCTACTGCCATCTAGCGGTGACGCTGCGCAGTACAGACGGGCCGTCTCTTACGTCACACGACAATAAGGAAGTGGCGGGCAAACAAAACAGCACGAGGACAGGTGGATTCTCTGTTTGTGGCGCGTTGGTCCTTCTTTTCAAACAGTCGCGGACACTTCAGACTGAAACAACACGTTCTGGAAGTGAAATGGCGCCTCCACTGGCGAGATGCCTCAGATGATGTCTCCGATTGTGGTCGTTCTTTGGTAGTTTTTGTAAGAACGCTCCATGGAGACATATTCAGTCCTGAGGGTGATCGGTGAGGGATCTTTCGGCCGGGCTTTGTTAGTCTGTTGCAAAAACACTCAGGAGAATTATGTGCTGAAAGAAATCCAGCTGTCCAAGGTATGTGGAATCACGGATGTGCTGTAGGCTGCACCATACTGTTCCTTTATCTTTGCCATTTCTGTGTGATAACTTCCGGTAGCTTTCAATATCCTGCTCGTGCTTTTATTGTGAAACACGTTGTGACTTTTGTTTTGAAAAGTGCTGTTCAAATGAACCTCTACTTATACATTGACCCGTGTGATGCGACAGGAAATGAAACAGACTCAAGTAGCCACTGACTTTTTTTTTTGCTTTACCTCAAGTTGTCAAGCACTTTGTTAAGAAAAGTGCCCCATAGATAAAGTTTAGAAGTATTTCTGGGAAAGTAATAATTACCACAGTTAGAAGGCACTGAGTAGAGCACATACCTCAAGGCCTAATAAATACAATCAAGCTGCAACAAATTAACTCAATTATCAGTCCTGTATCCTCATCAAGATCCACAAATCATCCCCTGGGCATTCAGTGGTAATGTTAAAAATGCTCCTTCCTGTAGTTTTTGCCTTATCTTGCTTACAATCAAACAAACAAACAACCAGACAGTGAAAACCACTGTGGATGTAATAATAAAATGATAAACAGTTGTTCCTCCATCTCCACATATATGGAGAAACCATATATGCTCTACACGCTAACACATTACAGATCATATTTGAATCCAGACATTCCATATTCTGGGATTCGGATGTGGAAATAACTGTTCCCGGTAACCCGATTCCTGCCTGCACGCAAACATGGAGGCTGCTTGTATTGCATAATTGGAAATGCGTTCAAACTTGTATTTGCATTCTTATAGAACCGGTCTAAAATGGAGAATTCAAGGCGAGAAGCCGTGTTGCTGTCCAGAATGAAACATCCAAACATTGTGGCCTTCAGGGAGGCCTTCGAGGGTAATCACACACGTAACCCTTTAACACCCTTTACAAGACATTCGTGACACACAGTCATTATCATTCTGATTGCAGAATAAACAATGTGGTTGTTGTTTTATTGCAGCTGATGACCTCCTGTCCATTGTGATGGAGTTCTGCAGCGGAGGAGACCTGCTCCAGAGGATCCGGCTGCAGAAAACTATGCAGTTCTGTCTTGATGATGTAAGGCCTCGACTTCATTCAACCATTCTCACAATTTAATATCTTTATTTAACAATTGTAACTTTTTACTTTCCAGATCTTGAGGTGGTTTGCTCAAATGTGTGCTGGTGCAAAGCATATCCACGATAAACGGGTTTTGCACAGAGATCTGAAATCCAAGGTACATCATCCTCTAGACATTCTAATTACTGTGTATTGTAGATTCCAGCCTATGCATAAAACATTTGTTTTCATACTTGGAGCATGCATTACGGACTCACGAGAGGGATCAGACTTTGCTCATATTTGCTGTCTGAATCCGAAGTCAATAACTTTGTTTATTGGTTGGTTGCGTGCTGATAGAATCTAATCAGCGTGAGCGCTGTGGAGTGAAATGAACAATGATAAAACTGCTGATCGAGATGCGATCGCTACATTATCTCGCATTTCTGCATAATGTCATCATTTCGCCACGCTCGGCTGCCCTCGTTCGGATTTTTATGTTAAATCGCTGCTTGTCATTTCCTCACCCAGAACATTTTCCTGACAGATAATGGGACAATCAAGCTCGGGGACTTTGGCTCGGCGTGTATTCTGAACAGGTAGGGGAGAGAACCAGAGTGGCAGCAGTTTATAGTTTTGCCATTTTGAATGAAAGTACTTTTTTGATTTGCTTGCTGTTGCACTTTAACCTTCACTGTTTATTTTCTGTGTTGCAGCTCGAAGGCTTACGCTCATACTTACGTTGGGACCCCGTATTATGTGGCTCCTGAAATCTGGGACAATAAGCCATACAACAATAAGAGGTATGGTGCTGCGTCTGTCTGAGCTGTAGTGTTTTTTCACAGGATTAAATGAGAATTAAATAAAACCTTAAAAGGTATTGATCAGTGTCCATGTGTGGAAGTCGGGCCATTGCAACAGGAAGCGTTAAATGTATGTTTATTTCTATTCATTTCGCAGAATGTGAAAATAGAATATGTATGAAAACCTGTGATGTTTGTCCACAGTTTCCTTACAAGCACATTATATGATATATTTGTTGGTTCTGTCTTTACTGACTTACCGTGCACACACACACACACACACACACACACACACACGCACACACACACGCAGTGAAATCAAACAACCATTTTATTCTGTCGTCATCAGTGCACCAGAACATTTTTGAATTTTGAACAGATGTTTTGTGTAATGTAGATTTCCCAAACTTGTCATAATAAGGGAAACACAGAAGAAAAACTCAACCCCTCTGAATTCACACAATTCCCACAACCTGTCATCCTCCTTTTTTTCTTTCAAATGTCAGCTTTCTTCGAGTCATGTTCAAGCTGCACGATAAATTATTTCTATTCATATAATTTAAAAACAGTTTCAGATTTGGAAAGGAAACTTTTAATTGAAATATATAAAGCAAGAGGAAACCCTTTCATCTTACTGATCCAGAAATCAACCTGTGAATAGCCAAAGTCAGATCAAACTTGGCACCTCTGTTCAGAGATTGTTGGATGTCTTAGTGTTGATCGATGCACCAACGATGAGGCATTTTGAAAACAGCTGTGGCTCAGCAGTGAATGTGCAACTTGTGTGTGGGTCAGCCGCTCCTGTTTCTCTTTGCCAGCACATGACGAATGTCTGCTGTGAATGAATAACCCTCTCTTGTGTTTATGTGTTCTGCAGTGATGTGTGGTCTCTGGGCTGTGTTCTCTACGAGCTCTGCACCCTGCGACACCCGGTACTCCTCCTCCTCCTCCTCCCTGCTCCCTCTGTTTGACTCTGGGCCTCTCTCCAAATACTGCTAATGAATCGTTGTATGAAATACTTGCTCGCAATCTTACGGCACAGCGAGGTACATGTTGTGGAAAGATGGAGGGCCGGTATCTTCAGCTGAGTCAGATTACCTTCTGTGTATTTTTCGTGGCTCAGATGTTCCTCACACCCTCTCTGTTGTTGTCCAGTTCCAGGCCTCCAGCTGGAAGAGTCTGATTTTGAAGGTGTGCCGGGGCACGTACCCTCCCCTCCCCAAGCACCTGCCCTACGAGCTGCAGTATTTGGTCAAGCACATGTTCAAGACCAACCCAAAAGACCGGCCGTCCCTGCACACCATCCTGACCTCTCACCGGGTCTCCAAACTCCTGCGCTCACATTTCCCCTCCCAGGTAAAAAGGAAAAAAAAACAGAGTTTGAGCTTCCTGCACAGCGACAGTCACTCTGACGTGACTTTATCGCTGCCCGTTCATCACAAAGATATATTATCAGGACGTGGTGTCACAGGGAGAATTTCATTTACACTTCCCCCAAGCTGTGGTGACCCTACGTGGAATCTGACCTCTGACACGTTGCTGTTGGTTCAGATGGCCGCGGTGCTTGTGTTGCGCGTTAGATTTACTGCTGTGGATGTTTTACAGGTGATGGAGGCGGAGGAGCAGAGGAGGCGGTCGGGTGGATGGAACAGAGAGGAGGGGAAGAAGGTGGCTCATCTTCTGGGCGAGAAAAGTTTAATGAGAACGTCAACATGTGAAGGTAGGGTCCACGTCAAAGTCAACATGAAATGAAGGATTGTGGGAGATCAACTGTATGATGTGTTTGTTACCTTGGGCGTGAACTACCATGTGAGAAAATAAGCAGTAATATCCTAAATAACACTTCACCCTCAGGCGTTGAGATCTCAGAGAAACGCGGTGGAAGCACAAGGCCCAGCCATCGAAAGCAGTGGGCGACTGAGCCGTCAGACACCGTGCTGCAGGTGTTGGCCAACGCCAGCCTCGTCTCATCGGACAGCATGGCATCGACCAGCCAGACCCTCGGAGGATCCGCTCATGGAGGTAAAATCAGAGCGTCGACATTTTCAATCGCTGAAATGTTCAAAAAAAGTTAAATAAGTTTGAAGAATGAAATACTACGACAGGATATTGGCCACTTAAACGGAAAAAAACTGAGACTGAGAAGTTGTAATTTTACATATTTGTATTGTGAGTTCTCCTTGCTGCTCATTTCCTCGTTTTTTCTTTATTCTCATAATATATGACATTATTCTCTTCTTTTTTCCTTCGATGTTGCAGAGGACACCAGGAAGAGGAGACAGTGGGAGAAGGATCCTCCTGAAAGGCTCCTGAAAGTGTTGGAGAAGGCCGAGCTGAGCAGAGCCTTCAGCACTTTTTTAATTAACAGAGGAGGTCTGTTGAAGTAACCACATCCATTCCACGTTATTTTAAAATAAGAACAATTGCTGCAGAGCACAAGAAATTAGAGGATGTCTTTGTTGAACTTCTTAAAGAGTCATTTAAATTATAAGGTGACTCAGAGAGCAGATATCTCCTCCAGTCCCCTTATGAGCCCCCCTAAATTCACCAGATCCATTTTTGGGGGGATCTGCACCAAATTGCACACACTTGTAAATATTAGTTCCCTTATTGTGCCGGATTTGTTTATCTTTTTTTATCAAGAGCCATAAATTGACGTGAAATTCCTGGATCTGCACACAAAGTTCCTGCATTTTACCTTTGGTCAACAAAATCGGTTTAGTGTTTTTTGTGTAATCCTGCAAACAATCAAACAAAGTTATACCGTAACATACTTGGTAATTATATTTATTTTTTTGTGAGTGCAGGAGATGATTGAGGAGGCTCAGTTAGCGCCTCCAGGTGAACCAGGGGGAGGGGATTGGCACAGATGAGACTAGTTGGCCAATCAACTCTCCCTGTATTCACACAAGGACAAACGAGACTCATGAGAGAGACAGAGACTGAGCTGAGCTGCAGAGCTGGGACGCCAGCTGAATAGCTGGCAAGTTTAACTTGAGTTTTGTTGAGTTTATGTTAGCTCTGTTTAAAGAATAAAAGATGCTGTAAAGCAACGGGTTGGTCTCTGGCTGTTATGGTGAGACCCCGGTGGTGTCGTCTATTGCCACAACGATACACAATAAATAAACGTCTGTGGTGTTGTCTTCAATTACAGATGACAACCTGCTGGTGGGACCTCTCTCTGAGCCGCAGGGTGACGACACTGACGGTCCTGAGCTGGAAGTGGTCCTGGACGAGGAACGACTGGAGCCGCGCTCTGATGACGAGGACACGTAAGTAACCTCGGTTCTGCCCTTTCTTCTGTTTTTGTTTTCAAGTCTCAGGAATGCAACAAGAGCATTGTCAGAGAATGTAAAGTAAGAACAAGAGAGAATATATATACAAAGTACATTTAAAGAAAGAAAGAAAGAGGATGTGAGTAGCTCTAGTTTTGCATGAAGAGAATATGAGCTCTGAAACTAAATGGAACATCCGATGATGATTCACATTAAAACCCATGCTATTGTTAGTGCTGTAGGAACATCTGATATGTGTCGGATCTGTAGTTAAGGAACAGAATGTGCTGAGTTTGTATTTATTATCATTTATTCATGTGACCTCTTGTATTTAAAACAGTGTTGAAATGTATTGTACTGTGCTTCCTCTACAGAGACTTTGAGGAAGAATCTCCGTGTAACTGGATAGATGAAGTTGAAAGAATGTTTTCAGAGCACTAAAGCCTCGCTGCTTCCTCAGCTCACACAATCGCAGCACATTATTAATGCATACAAAGGTTATTATCCAGGTTTAATTTTTTAAGTTTACAGAAATCCACTAAAGCTCAAGCAGTAACAGAGACACTATGTTTTTCGGTTTGTTTGTATGTTTCAAGCAATGTGCAGTTTTTATGTTCTTGATCCCTTTAAAAGATATATAAACCTTTTAATTTAATATTGTGCAACTTCCTCTCACTGTTTCTTTTACATAAAAATCCTTGAGACGTGTCTGTGTCCTGTCTGTCGTTTGATTTGAACATCTGCCCGTCTACTTGTTCAAGTTACCAGTGAAAACATTCCCGGTAGATTGAGTCCGTCTGGAGGCTCCTGTTTGGCTCATTGGGTGGGAACCACGTTGTCTTTTCAGCTGTTTCAGTTTGTTTGTTTGTTTGCAGAATTATGCAAAAACCAGTCAACAGATTTACGTAGAAGAACTCATAAAATTTTGGTGCGGATCCAGATCAGGTTTTTTATTTTTTCACTTTCTTTATTATTGCAATTTCATTTTACATTTTCATGGACTTATCAAAATAAATAATGAATCTTGATTCTAAGGGGATTTGGTGCAGTTCCAAATAAAAGTCTGGATCCAGTGAATTTAAATGTGGTTTGTGGCTGGACATGGGATGTGCTCTCTGAGTTCCACTCCAAGTTGTTCTGACCATAGTTGTGCGGGCGCAGAGAAATGGCAGCAGTGTGAGTCTTTGACCACTGGGTGGCGTGAGGCGCATTGAGAAAAGCTGCGTCCAGGTTCACATAGAAAATGCAACATGTCAATAAATCTGAGTGCTCAACCTAATTACATGTGAATTAAAGAGAACACCGAGGAGCGCAAAGGTATTTAATGTGATGGAGCGAGCAGAGCCTGTCAGACTCAGATCCTGACAGTGTGAAAAAAGAGCAGACAATAGTTTTACCACATGTTACAACAGTGAGACCAAAGCCTTAACCTCGGCCATGACAATTTGGGATTGAAAAGGATATAGATACTACAAACCCTTGAGTCATTAAAACCACAGTGGTGCTGATTCACCAAGGGTCAGGCCACCGCTGGATTAACCCGCTGCTCAAGTTCCCTCCACTGTGAGCGGCCTCCCATTGGCTGACAGGATGCCCCCGTTGAGCGAGAAGCTTGATAGATACTGTATCTTTCCCATGATGTCTTGTATTGAGGAAGCTCATTGCTGCAGCTCGACCCTTATCTTCAGGCTGCACTGAATCCCCCCCCTCTTCAGGACTATCCTGCTTTTTAAAATGTATTATTATTATTGTATATTATAGTGTTTCCGCTTGAACCTCCATGTTCAAGTTCAGGGAAGATACAGATAAAGTTGTGTAGCGTCGCTGAGCTACATCGTCGTCTTGTGTGCCCTGCAGATAGGAGGGTCTGCCATCAGTGTCCATGACGGGCTCGACTGCTGCTTTACAGCTCAGGCAGCTGATGGACACTGGGTAGTCTGGGGGATTTTTTTTAAGTGCATGGCACCGCAGCTTAAAGCGTCAATGTGCAGAGGCTTAGGTATTAAAACCTGTTCAAAATATACAAGTCGAATCAAAAACACGATCAGAATTTTAGGTTAGTTTTTTCGTATTCTTTTATTATATTGGCACCAGTATGAAAACCTGCTCAGTTCTATTTGTGGGCTGATGTTGAAATGTGAATTTATTTGAGCTTTGAATGAATAACCCTGTGCAAGTAGGTGACAGCTGGTTGGCTGGTTTTTATTGATTGGTTTGAAAAGCAAGATTACACAAAAACTGGACAGATTTCTAAGAAACTTGTTTTAGTCATGGTTTTGAGTCTGGCGTGAATGTAATATATAATAATATATATTATATATAATATATTGTTTAATACTTTTTGTCCTAGAATGAATCACCCGGTGCACGTAAGTGACAGCCAACATGCACAGCTGATGTGCAGGGGTGGTAAGAATAACAAAATATACTCTATACAGTATACATTTAGATATTTTTCTATTAGTCTGTCTTGGTTTTTGCCCTTGTGTCTTTTAATTATTACACTGATTACATTAATAAATAGCACAACCAACAAAAAAGTTAACATAGCCAGCAACACTATAAGAATCATAGCCCAGGAGGAAAACCTCATCAATATCCTCTGTTTAATTTGAAAAACATCACTCTGGAAGATCCTATCCACACGCCAAAGAGTAATATTTTATTCAACCTTCTGTCATTCGAGTGAAGAGATCATTTAATTTGAGGTTTTAATATTTATCTAATTGTATCTCGTGTTGCATGTATTGCTCTCGCATGTTTTTCTCTTTTTGTGTTTGTATGAATGTCTGAATGAATGAGCTGTCTTGTGATTTCTTTCAGGGTTGTTAATGTGGATCAAATTGTGCAGCTGTTCGCGTAACTTCTGGGTCAAGGGTCGGGGAGGGGGGGGGAAACTCCTGACTAAACTGTTTCAAGCGTCACACCCATAGACTGTATATAAAGAGGTCACAGCTCAGAAACGATCGAGGCAAACTAGCAGATGAACGGGCTTCCTCTTGCAGGAAGGATGTGAAGTCGTGTCTGTTGTATCTCAATGGCTATAAATGGGTCAAGGAAGAAATATCTCTTTGGATGAATTAGTGTGGAACGCTGTGAGGTCAAAGTGGAGATGAAACTTTTATTCTGTTTTATTCTGTTTAATCTCCACTTCCACTGATTCGTCCTCTGAGAGTGAGAGATGGCATGTGCAGTAACACAAACCATCATTCTCAGAGGTGATAGTTCCGGTGTGATGAACATGAGCCAAACTTTCACACCTTGTTTCTCAGTGTTTGCTCAAGTGAGTTTTTATCAGCAGCCCGCTGCTCGCAAATCTAAAGCACATCCTGTTGAACCTAATAGCAAACAATCAAGTGACTTCCCCCATCTTATCAAATGTTGCACCAAGGTCCTTTCGTTTTGTCTTTCTGGGAAATTGACCCACGCGCCTCGACCCTCGGCTCCTGTCATCACCCTGGATGAAACATCAACGCTCGTCATGTTTCCCTTTTTGTGTGTCTGTGTAATGGTGCCGTTTTTGGTGGCCTGCTTTCTGAGCTTCACTCAGGAAGAGCCGTCCAGATGTGAGATGACCCAGCGCTCTCTGTCTGGCCACCAATGCTCATTCTGATCTAATCTGAACTTTACTTTTTCAAATTTCAACCTCGACTATCAGCTAAATGAGTTTCATAACCAGTTTTTTGTGGCGGTTCGCAGCCTTGCTGGAGAAAACAATGAAACCTGCTGCTCTGACTTACCCACTAAAGAGAACTGTATCATGGGGAGCAGCTCTTCCTGTTAATGACAAAACACTCTGTGGTCGAGAGTCTCTTTGCAACTATAAATATGGGAGCTGTCATTGTTATGATTATTTCAGGCCCTCTGCGGTGACCCTCCATTGTCTGCTGCCAGTGTTTTGTTGCTCGGTATCAGACAATGGAGACTGGTGTGGCCGAGCAGGGTTTGTCGTGGAACTGCACAATTCATCAGCTGCTTCAAAGTGAAAAAGGTCAGGAACAGTTAAATTTGGATCCTGGCCTATGTTGGACAGTGGCGGTCGTCGTGCACTTTTTTTTAAAGGCTGCCATTGTTTGTGGCTCACGTGGTGACGGGCCGCTTCACCTTCACACAGGGTCCAAGGCTCTTCCGGGCCTGTCCACTTGCCGTCCTTCTTTCTGAGCCACTAAGAATATTAATAGCAGAGACTTTAAGATCTCTCCTCTTGTGGCTCATGTGCACTTCACTGAAATCAGCTGCTGCACATTTATTTTGAATGACATAAGAATGACATTGTTCCATACAAATGCATTTAAATGTCATTATCATCGTTTTCATCTTGGGCGTGATTTTAAATGTGATGAATTTCAGCTCAGTCCTTATTACTCATGTACTGATGTTGTACACACCGATTTGAGAGAAATACTTGAAAACCCTTCTTCATTTTTGTTCCTCTTTCTATGAAGCATCTCAAAATATGAAGTTATGTTTTTAAAGTGTGTTACCCGTTGCAACAGCTGCAAATACTTGATGCACAGATTTAGAATCAGAGGTTTCAGAAGGCATGACTAGTTTGAAAAACGATAGCAAGAAGAAAAACTCAGTTTGTAATATTGGTCTATAGATGAGTCCTTAATACTATACTTAATTAAGACTTAAATCTGCAGTTGTGTTTTCAATATGTTTTACATTGCATATTAGGAGGCTCTTGATATGATGCTCTTATTATGCTGGTTTCTCTTTTTTACTTTAATTTATTATTTATGAATTAGGACAGATGTGTGTATGTACTGTATGTTTGTTTTTTAGTTGCTGCACAGCAAATTTCAATGCTCTATTTTGTGCAATGACAATAAAGCTTTGTGATTGTCACAGTGTGTTTCAAATCAAATCTTTAAATCGCTAAATTATTTTTTCACCAAATAAAACACATTCATTCAAGCTTGAAACAGACACCATAGAAAGTAGAACCTCTATCATGAATTAAATCCTTCAGTCTTGTGATCTTGTGTAGTTGTGGATTTATATCTGAATTTAATGAATCTCTTTAGTTTGAAGCAGCATTCACTCTGCAGAAGTTCACAAGTGTGATCGATAGGTTAATGGTTAATGTCTTTATCAGCCACTTGGACTCACTGAGCACAGATGCTGTTCTGTGTTGTTGTGTGTTTGAGACGTGTTGAAGAACCATAGTAATGATGTTTTAATGCTCTGGGCCGTTTACTGTATCATGCACTTTATTTTATTTTGCCATCTTCTGCAGTGTTTCAGATGTTCTCATTTATTTTCATCAAGGCCACTGGCTTTGTCACAGTGACATGACTAGACTGTCCCATTTCGAAGTCTCCTTCCTACAGGAAACGAAGGCTATCCCAGGATTCGTTGCGCTTCAGTGGCAAACTGTTTTTTCAAAGAATTGATGGCACCAGCAAGCTGCATGACATTCAATGCTAGAGCGGTACACGTGTCAAAAAACCTAGATTCATTAAAACGTTCCTGTCGTGTACAGCTTCAGCTCTGTTGCTTGGTAACAGCAATATGGGCGGGACAAGCTGGTGACGCCAATCACAGAAAGTCTCAATAGACCAGGCCTTTTCATTTCGTCCTACGTGGTCTACCTGGAACATGAAGGATGCATTGAATTGAGTCCGTTTTTTTTAGCTGTAGTATATATATAATGAATATGTATATATATAAACATAAACATGACATGTTTTATACTTTAAAGCGCTTTTAGTGGA